TTGTGTACTCTACTTACTCAATCCTCTCCACCTTTTGAGATAGATGATATTAATCCCTTTTAACAGATAAAGAGAGTGAGGCCCATAGTACCAGAAAAAGAGAGTGACCGAGCAGGGGTTTAAGCCCGTTCTGCCCAGCTCCAAAATTCACTGTCATTCTTCCATATCAGGTGTGGTCCAGGCAGCCCAATGGTCCTTGAGAACCTTCCAGGGATTGTTAGAGGTAAAAACAATTTTCCTATCAACGTTACAACATTACTTGCTCTTTTCACTTTCGTGCTCTCCCAGAGTGCCCTGGAATTTTCCAGAGAAAACATGTGTATCTTCTATTAAGGCAGATATAAAAGAAATTTGTAAAAATGTAAAACAATGATACTCTTCTCTCTATATATATATTTTGCTTTGTAAAATAGTTAGTTTCCTTTAAAATTTTTTGTTATTTATAACATATAATGGATTTATTATTGCTATTTTAATTTAAATCATTAATAAATATTTAAAAATTTCTCTGTAAATTTCTATATGGTAAATATAAATACATATAACTAACCCACATACACAAAAGCTCTTTGGGATCAGAGTGTTAAGGGACCCTGAAACCAAAAAGTTTGAGAACTGCTGCTCTATACCATGTTACCACTCAGTGGTGTGTGTATGTGGTGAGGGTGAGAGTGACTGTCCTAAGTGCTCCCAGGTACAGGACGAGGGGAGCCTGGAAGTCAGGTGGCTGGGCTCACAGTCTTGTGCTTTTTCCACATCAGTCCAGGAAACCCAGATCACTGGGTTTAAGGTTCTTCCCCAGCTGTCCCCAGCTTCTGCCAGCAGGGCATTCTCTGGTCTGCGTTTAAGTTCAAGCAAGGGATGCCCTTGCCCTTTGATGCCCACTTGCCACTGTTTGTCCAGCTGCCTGTCCTGCCTTCCCCATGACAACTTGTGGGAAAACAAGCAATGGGGGTGGGGAGGGTGGCTGGGGCAGCTGGGCAACCACCCCTGCTCGTCCCTGGCACGGCTCTGCCCAGGACACAAAGAGCAGAGTGAATCCTGTTCCGCCCTTGCAGCTGAGCGGCTGGAAGGATGAAAAAGGGAGACACACACAGAAAGAGTGGCTACCACGGGGCTTTCCACTGTCACGATTCTTGGAGCCTTTAACCCAGAGACAGACAGAAAGGGGGAGGTTGGGTCCTACCCTTATCTAGTGAGAAGAGGTACTCTGGAGGTTAAGATAACGATAATTTTGAAGATTGGATTTTCACATCACAATATCATTGTAACCTCACAACAGCTTGGAGAGGGGGACAGGACAGGCAGTACTAGTCCCATTTCACAGATGAACACTCTAAAGCCTAGAAAGGCAGACTGCCTCATTCAGCATCTGAGAGCTGGTCAGTGAGGCACTGAAACCTTCACATACTGAAGGAATGAACTATTGACCTCTTGCCAGGAACCCCCTCATGTTTGATGACGACAGTCGTCATTGACTGTTGTCTGCGTGCATGCTCCTTGCCCTGTGGCAAGGACAAAGAAGCTTTGGAAACGCTGGATCCCAGGGCTGGTCACCTGGCTGGCAGCCAGTCTTTGAGATAAAAGCACCCATATAGCTGATGAAAACAACAGTGCGTGCTAAGTGGCAGGTGAACATGCAGCAGGGAGGCTGGAAGATTCTGGAGAAGGAATGGGACAGCATGGGCTGGGGCCGAGAGGTCATAGAGTGGGTACCATTGGTTCTTGCTTGGCCCTTTAAGGTGGGTGGTGTTCAGAGAGCTGGAGAGGCATTGAGGGTGAGCTTTCCAGGAGGGAGAAATGGACTAGATAAAGGCCAAGAGATGAGAAGGCCGCAGCAGAGGGCT